GTAATGTCAGAACATGCTGGAATACAGAAGTCATAGCCAATACGTGACGGACGCGTGGCATATGATATCACATCAAAAACAGGCAAACCGCACGCTATTGCTGACATGCGCTTTGGGAAGCAAACAATTAATTGCACCCTTCTGTTGACGAGACCGCATTCAATGCGGTAAGGTTCGGATATGAAAGGCAATAAATGCTCCTATTACAGAGCATTTATTGCATCCTTCCCGAAAGGATCATATTGTACCGTCGGCGTCCCGACGACTCAGAATTGATTGATCGGGACCCCGAGCAATCAATTAGAGAAGACATTCCTCATCAAATCAATACACACGCTACCTGTGCCTGATGATTACCTGCTGATCACACTGACCGCAATCATGAGCTTCTAAGGTATAAATACTCCTCCCAAAAGGCAAAGCGGGTATGCAATCAAAAAACTCACCACTACAAAATATCCTTATCAGTGTTTTCTCCTTCCTCTCTCTCATTCAAAGACTGACTAGACCGTCGGAGGGGATACGCCGGAAAACACTCCGGCGCCCTTCTAACTTGTTCTCTTTTGTTCCAGGAGATACCTTTCACACGTACAGGATCGTTCTTCCTTTCCCAGGATCTTCCTTTGCCGTTCCAGGTTGCCACCGTTCCTTGTAGGCTGTTTCAAGCAGTGTGTTTGACCACTCAACCGGCTCACCCAAAGTTCACCAAGAGAGAGATCTGTTCCCAATATTTTATACATCGTGCAGGATCTAGCCCGCACAAAAATGTACCGGAAACTAACAAAGAAACCCACAGGCTTGCTGTCGTCAATTTGGATTGGGGTCAAGTGGCGGTTTGTTATTGAACTCCTGTGTAATTGAATTTATATTTTTTTGTTGGAGTACCCAAGGTTTATAGTTGAAGATTGTGAACCAGTTTCAGGTATACTTGGGATATTTAAGTGTTGAATTTTATTTCTTTTGAAACAAGCGGTGCTTTTTGAAAAAATTTACGGATTGTAGTTCGCACCTTCACAATGACTTTTAATTGAGCATATAGATGGACTCATATTGCTGAATCCAAATGATTGGGACATAAGGGATGGTTTGGTTTGGTTTACCTTCACAGTCACTNCATATAGATGGACTCATATTGCTGAATCCAAATGATTGGGACATAAGGGATGGTTTGGTTTGGTTTACCTTCACAGTCACTTCTTTTTTTTGGAAAGAAAACTGGTTTCACTTTTTGCTTGTGGGTTAGCGACAGCGTGGCAACTCCAATAGTTTTATTCCTACGGGAACAAAGTTTAGTAAAGTTTAATTTACATAAATGGTGAAGATGGTGTTTCATAAATCTCATGAATTCTTATCTAGCTCACGAGCAACGAATATGAATGAAGTATGTGGAAAATTTATGAAATATTTTCCTTTCTTTCCCACAATCATTTATCCTCAATATTTAGAAATTTAACGAAGAAGTTTTGGGAAAAAAGTTAGGGTACTGCATATTACCACAAGTGCAGTCACTTTTCAAAGAGTTGAGCTATTTTCATCTATAGTTTTGGTTTTCTGCCTGCCCTTTAATGTTACTTATCAAAAGACACTGCACTTCATTGCAATAAAGAATGCCCGGATTGCACTGTCCATGGATGTGCCGTTCATTTTTCTTCATTTTAGCTATTGGGATAAATCCTGGGGGAGATCCCGGAGGAGTTGGCAAGTTTTGATCATATGGCCTCTCCCCCTTGAAGTGGGTACATGTAGCCGAGCCAACCCTTTGTATTTCATACTTATCTTTCTTTGGCATAGGCTTATGTATTCCGAAGTGTAGTGCTGATGCTGTTATAATCTCACTTTGCCTCTTCCAGGTACTATTATGCTGTAGTGGAATGTGATTCTAGTGCTACAGCAGATTACCTATATAAAAGATGTGACGGGCTTGAGTTTGAAGGATCATCAAACAAGCTGGACTTGAGGTTTATTCCAGATTCTATGGAGTTTAAGCATCCTCCCCATGATGTTGTAACAGAGGTAAGTTCCATTGCATTTTCATCATCATGACTGTAACCACAGTGTTCCTGTTACTATGTAACACTAAGAGGAACTCAGTATAATGTTCCTTGATTGGACTTATCCAAAAGAGTTTTGAGCAAAAACTAATGATTATCATTCCTGAAGAATGCTCCAATTAAAAAGTCAGGCCCTCGAAGTTACACATTAATAGTTGAAGTAGTGTCGTAAGTGTAAATAATTGTGAGCCCCTAAAGGCAGGACTCTAGTATCCCTTAAAGATCTTTCCTGAGATTTGCCTACCAAGAAAAATGCAGGTGCCTTATGCTTGCCGTCATTCTGAAAGTTTGCTACTTGCATGACCACAATATAGGCAGCCTGTTTTTAGTTATGACTATGTTTTGGTTGGATTTATATTTTGGGTTAATCTCATTTTGCACCCCGAAAGATCGTTCGAATCTAAATTTACACCCTCAAAGATAGAAAATTGTATCAATGTACACCCCCAAAGATCAAANTTGCCTTAGGAAATTTGTACTTTGTCTAGGTGAGAAAATGCTATTGTTTAGTGCCAAAGTTTGATTATTATAGTAATTAACATTAGAATTTTGATATGTATGGTTAATTTGGAAAGTCAGAAATTGCAGCAGCCCTTTCNTTCTTGCCTTGCCCAGCCTGTCTCAGTAACTGTTAATTGTTGCTGTTGAAGGAATTAGACTGATACAAGGTAGTTATCATTGGGAATATGCATCCATCATTCTCACCTTTTTTGATATCATCTTCCAACATATATGTAATCCACCAGATAATACACGGATACCTGAACCAAAAAAGGAAGTCTTGGGCACCATTTTTTAAGGATATAGTATTTGGGATCCTTAGCAGAGATTCATTTGGCGAACCTACATTTACATCTTTGACATGATCATATGCTAGCAAATAGCATCTTACTATGTAGTGCTTAGTTTGATCTAAATGCTTTATGTGTTACATTCTTGCACTCAAATGTTAAGGTAATATTTGGTGATTTGTTTCATTTTATTATTTTGATGTTGTATGCATATGGGACTGGATTATATTTTTGTCACCTATGGAGATATATGGAACTGGATGCATAGAAATGAGGGTTTTTTTTTTGGGTTTTTGGGCTTGTGATTTAATGATGGTGATTATTGAATACAGGTATTGGAGTTGGCTGGGAATGCAGCAAGGGATAACAAGAAGAATTGCATAGTGCCAAGGCACATTCAGCTTGCAGTGAGGGATGATGAGGAGCTTAGCAGGCTTTTGTGTGGATTCTATTTTCCAAATTAGTTGCCGTAGGAAATTTGTACTTTGTCTAGGTGAGAAAATGCTATTGTTTAGTGCCAGAGTTTGATTATTATAGTAATTAACATTGGAATTTTGATATGTATGGTTAATTTGGAAATTCAGAAATTGCAGCAGCCCTTTAATTCATTCAGCACAAACAATATATTCTTTTTTTTTTTGAAAAAGAAATTTTATTCCATGAAACAATGAATTACAAGAAGCAAATGAATTCAAAAATTCTAATTACAAAGAGTTGGCTTTAATCCTTCAAAAGGATTAAAACCAGAAATTTATCAAGCACAGTCCAGCTGCCCAGCCAACAAAACAGCCCATGGCCTAACACACCATAGACTGCTTGCAGACAGAACCCAAAACCTGGACCTGCTATTCCTCCAGCTGCTGAGTGAGCTTCTCTTTACTGTGCTCTATATCCCATAGCTTAGCTCCTGCTCCATTGCTCACAGCTTAGCTCTCAGCAGCAACATCACAGTCCTATATGACATACTCATTAGGCATATTATATAACAAAAATGTCAAGTGTCAAGGCCAAATCATCAAGTTTGGAGGGCACAATAACTTATTTTGATTCTATCTGCATTTGTTCACTTCTTGTTGGGTATTTTCTATGCTCTTTTATGTGTGTTTAAGGGGGATATTTCACGGCTTATAGAGATGCATCAAAATTTAACTGAAAGATACCAAAGTACAAACCTGAATGAGCAGCAAAGCTAGAACTTTCATAAGTGCAATCTTACTTTTATTTTTATGAGGTTGCAGTAAACAGGAAAGGACAGCAGCAAAATATTCATTATGAATTGTCATCACAACTCATTCATTTCTGACTAAAAAAAAAATTGATTCATAGTATTGAATTCAATTTTTGATTCACAGCAGCAAAATATTCGATTGAATTTAATTTTGATTCACCATAGCAAAAATCGAAGACAAATTTTGATTCACAGCAGAAAAAGAAAGAGAGTTCAATCCACATCTCTATCTGAAATCGAAGCCAAATTTCAATGTACCAAATCTGAGAGTT